GACAGTTTTCGTATAATGAATAAATATTTTATTAAATTATATATTGGCCATTCTGGTCCAACACCTTTTGCCATCTTTCTGGCAGTAACATAATTCCCCTCTCCTAAAAGTTTTGGTCCTTGCTGGCAAAAAACTGGTTCAGGTGGTTTTTGACATCTTCATTTGAGGTAAAGGTTTTGCCATCCAAAAAATTTTGCAGGGACCGGAACAAAAAATAGTCGGAAGGCGCCAGATCTGGAGAATATGGTGGATGTTGCAGTACGTCCCATTCAAGCTGTAAAAGTTTTTGGCGAGTGACCAAACTTATGTGAGGTCTCGCATTATCCTGGTGGAACACTACACCCTTCCTGTTGATTAATTCGGGCCTCTTCTCTTTAAGTGAATCATTCAATTTGTCCAGTTGATGACAATAGACTTCTGAATTAATCGTTGTATTGTCCGGCAAAAGCTCAAAAAAAACGATTCCTTTGACAGCCCACCAAACGGAGAGCATCACCTTTTTTTGGTGAATGTTGGCTTTTGACACGCTTTGAGCCGGTTCATCTTTTCCGCTCAATGACCTCTTGCGTTTAACATTGTTGTATACAACCAGTAATAATCCGCTTCAAAAATGGATCATTTTCTTGACGTTTGAGGAGCGAATCACACACGTCAACGCGACGACAGAAATTTCGCTCCGTAAGGAAATGGGGCACCCACACATCGAGCTTCGAGGTTAAGCCCATGCCTTTCAAATGGCCATAAACAGTCGAATTCGACAAATTTAATCTCTCACCGATCTCTCGTGTGGTTATTCGCCGATTTGCATCAACTAATGCCTTTATCGCATTTTTGTCAGCTTCGACCGGCCTTCCCGACCGTGGTGCATCTTCGACATCAAAATTGCCGGATCGAAATTTTGCAAACCAGTTCTGGCACTGGCGTACTGTTAACACGCCTTCTCCATACACATCCGTCAATTTTTTTCTCGCTTGGACAGCATTTTTACCTTTTCTGAAGTAAAAAAGTAAAATATGACGAAAATGCTGCTTATTGCTCTCCATATTTAAAAGGGCACCAACCAAAAACTACTGCGTAGAATTAATAGAACTTTTTCACACACAAGCCTTGCAATATCAGCTCTCAAGACATATAATGGTTATGCGGCTTAAGTGTGAAGTTGGTTTCGGAAAAACGTAATTAAGTCCTCTGACGGGAAAAAACGAAATGACTTTCCGAACAACCTTATAAAATTGTGGTTCTTCTTTACGGGCTTCCGTGCCATCATAATGAAGCAGCATAGTCCGGTTTGGTAATTATTTGACTTCTGGAGTGATCCGACTCCTTTTGACTGTTGCCAAAGGCGGATAATCGCTTCTTCTACTTTTATTTTTCGCGACAACAACGGCCCGACGTGAAAGTAACGAAAATCTGATCGATTACGTGATGGACATTTTGCTCTCTAAGAAATTGATATTTATTCGGAAAATCTAATAGACCGTCGAGATTTTAATTGCCCTCTAATTACTTAACGATCAGAATTTGAATATTGATTAGTTCGGCGATTTTTTACGATCCTAGAGTAAACATAACGCTACTCAAAACGTGTTTAATTACCGAAGGAATTTCTCCCGTTAATTATTTATTTGTGGCGAATAGAAAAAGGCGCGTAAGTAGATAATTTTTTCGTATATGGGGTGACGCAGATGAAGTTGTATCAACCATATTCCTTTACAATTAAGCGGCAAAAATGAGACGCCTAAAGTCGGGATACGGATTGACATTTATCGCTTTCGCGCGCGCGCTCTTGCGGTGACGTATTAAGGTACATGGAGATACGTCGGGCTGATAATACGGCTGTACCGTTCGAGTATTATTAATGACGAAACGTGGTGGTTAACGTCGTTCCGATGCTTAAAGGCTAAATTGTCGTTACGGTTAAATTGCATTTGATCGAGCGACCTGTTTTATTCATCTTGTTGCTTTTGATCAAACTAAACGTACATTTTACAGTACTACAAAAAAAATAAAAGTCTCCACTGGGAGGTATACCTTTTAATCTTAGCAAACATTTTTTGTTTTATACTGGTAATGGTTAGATTTCGATTGGCTATAATATAAAAGCTGAGAACTTATCAATTATTCACCACGCATCGGTTTTAATTTAAAACAAACTCTAAAGAAATGTGGAAAAATTTAAAAACGCTACTTCCAAATAAAAAAGGTATACTTCCCGATGAGTTGCAGTTTGGCCACTTAAACAAGACATAGCTAATGAATTTAATAGGTATTTTATAGACAGTGTTCAAAATATTTTGACTGGCATTCCGCCAGCTCAGGCTGTGAATGATATCACCAATATACCAACTTATGGAGAGATCAGTTTAATACCATAACTAAGCAGGACCTAAAAAAATAATAAGAGAATTGAAAAATGTGACTGGTGATGAGTGCGGTATCTCAAAGAGTGAATTGATTGAGGCCTGTGCAGTTGTTGGAAATCGATTGTTGGACATTGTGAACACCTCCCTCACGAGTGGAATTTTTCCGTACAAAACGTTCCTATTTCAAGAGTTTAGGCCAATTAATACCGTCCCAGTTTATGAGAAGGTTCTTGAGGTTGCGGTGAAACAGCAGCTGCAAAGCTATTGTGACGTAAATTATATTTTAGTGCCTAACCAGTCGGGCTTTCGCTCCAAACATTCATGCGAATCTGTCGTCGTTACTGTCTGTGATGATTTCTTGAGGGCCTTGGAGGATGGCAAATTTGTGTTGGCTGTTTTTTTGGATTTTAAGCGTGTTTTCGAAGCAATAAGTAGAACTAGACTGTTAAGAAAATTGTACAAAATGGGTATTGAGGGAACAGCGTATAAATGGCTTTGTTCGTATTTAACAGATAGGGTACAAAAAACGAAATATAAAAATTCCATAACTGTAGAACATGGTGTTCCTCGGGGGACAGTTTTGGGACCATTGTTGTTTCTTATGTATATAAACAATATTGTAAATATTTTAGATGATTTTTATTGTGGGTGAAAATGTGGATGAAATGCAAAAAAAAATGAATGCCGATCTGAAGAAAGCTTTTGAATGGCTGTGCAATAATAACCTTTGTATAAACACGGACAAGTCAAAATTTTGTATTTTTGGTAAACGGGATAAAAATATAGTAAATTACATTTCGATGTAAACGAAACTAAATATCTGGGTGTTATATTTGACTCAAATTTGACGTTTCATACACATGCCGATTTCATAATGAACAAATTTTCTAAAAATATTAATTTTATATCTAGAATGGGGAAAAATTTGTCAATTGACACCAAAATCTTATTGTATAACAGCCTAGTTGCTCCCCAAATTGCCTAATTATAAATTAGAACAATTGCAGATTGTTCAAAATAGAGCCATGAGAAATATACTAAAGTGTAACAGATATACGCCAATTCAAAGCATGTTGAGTGTTCTTAATTTCTTGTCTGTAAAACAAAAGGTAATGTTTAATGTCTATGTATTTATTTTTAAAATTAAACGGCAGTGTGTTCCCAACTATGTTTGTGAAAAAGTGACCTATTTCAGAGATATTCACTCTTACAATACAAGAAATTCTGATTCGTGTGTCTGGCTTTTGGTCTCCGTTTATCTGGAATTTTATATTTTATATTTGGAATTTGTATTTTGTATTTTTTATGTAGCATAATGCTAAATAAAGATTATATTATTATTATTATTTCATCAAACCGCAATTACACCTAACGGGAGCCTCTCTTATAAAGATAAATGTGGCTAAATTTTAATCCCATGTAAATTTATTTGTAACTAAGACCATTACCATTACCTTTATAAACCATAAATAAGTTTACAAAGAATACCACTTTCATTATCTTTATAAAACCTACCCGCAATGTTGTTTATAAACGCCTAACAAACTCCAAAACGGACAGCAATGGATTTTTACGTTGACATTATTTTGAAAATGTTTCATTAAATATTATAACTACTCAAAAACTCCGAAAAATTCCTACGCCAACTTTATTTGGCTCCCGTACTAAATGCGAAGCCCCCTTGTTTTTTGCATTTTAAAAGTAGTTTTCGTAACATATGCATTCAAATTTAGCGAATATTGTTTAAAATATGATTTTCTTCTTTTTTTTGAAGGTATTTGTGTTAATTCCAAAAAACAATAAAGTTTACAAGGTTCGCTATTTAAACGCCTACAACTTACCAGGTGTCTTATATGTTTTTTTATATTTTGGGATAGTAACAACTTTGTAAGTTACCAAAGTATATCTAAAACCAATTGAATCTCACTTTTCAGTTGTTTACTTTTCGCAAAACGTGCTTTTCCAAATTGTTCCATCCAAACAACCAGGAAAAGCAGGTCGGGAACCATGAGAGTCCAAGTTTTGTAACATTCTGTAAGTTTCGTGTTAGTTGTAGAATATTTATTATGTGGTTTAAGATTTATAACGGTTTGAAGCTATTAGATCCCTAGAGTAAAAGTTTTACGTTAGAACGCTATCACTTTCAGAAAAAGCCTGAAGTAACCATCAGTACAAATAAAGTAGCCGAAACGTTATGGGTACGATATTATAAAACAAAGTATTGTAACACCAAAACTACAATAACTGTAATAAAAGCTAAAAATGCGAAAAATGTTGGTTAAGTTAACTTGTACAATACCCGGGCAACCCCCTGTACGTCCACGCGCAAGGCGGCGTTGCCAAACAAGTTAATTTTGTCCTAATTCTAATATTTACGATAGGATCGCACTTACGGTTTTCACAACGGCGTGACGATATGGAAACCCGGCGTTGAAATATTAACATATAAATAGTATCGGCGCATTTCCTTTTTTCTGTGCACCTTTTCCGCTCCTTTATTTATCTAAGCAAATTTAATCAAATGGTTCGGCTTTAATTACGGTAATCGAGTCCAAACTAGCGGCGAATAGATAATTTGTTTACGGTTTAAACGGAGGGCCCAAAAAATTAGAATAATCCGTTCGAAATCGCACTCACCATCTCGTCGAGACTCTTCAAGTCATTGGTGACGATCTGGGGTACCGGGCCGTACATCATCACAGGCTCCTCGTCCTCCAAGTCGCTGTCGCTATCGTCGTCCAACCCGTTTTGGTTACCGTTTTCGACGACGAACCCGAGTTTCCTCTGATCCGCCGCGATCTCCCGATCGATTTGTCGTTCCATTTGGACGAGCATCGGCGCGAGCATACCGAACCTGGCGCCGCGACGCGCCACCTCCAACAAGCACAGGATGACGTGTTTCTCGTTTTTGCGCATGATCAGGTCGTCGGATTCGAATAGCAGACACTCGATTATCTCCAAGGAGAAACGGCACCAGTTGATGAAGTTACTGACGTTGTCCCTGGAAATAAACAAATTAAAAACTCGACGGGGCGCTAACGTTTGGGTGACGTAATAGCCTATCCGTTGTCATAATTGCTCCTGCGGAACACTATGGAACTTCAAAGTTACGGCAAAGTTTGGTAAATATTAACATTTTTTCAAATATTTCGCAAACCCTGTATGCTAAATAAAACCGGAAACTCTCTCTCGACCCAGTTTACGATACTGTTCAAATAAAATTATCCCACACTTTTTACAAAACTGAAATCCTCCTGCGTCGGTTTTTGCTGAAGTTTCTCCAATCATCCCGTTGGCTTCTTCAGAGCTTGACTGAAACCGGCTCGTATTTTACTCTGAACTTGCTTATATATTGTTTGAGGGGGGCGGAGCTAAATGACGGGCATAAACATCGTCTCGGATGACTGATTCCCATATCGGTGACAGGTAGGTTGCTAGGTTGTTTCTAGATTTCTATAGACTCTCGGATTTTTCGCTAGTAGAAGAACTCATTACATGCAAGAATTTTAGTTTTATCTAATAAAATTGTATGTTCGGTTTCATGAAGAAGCCTGCAGGATGATTGGCGAAACGTCAGCAAGTTCGACTCAGCAAAAACCGACGCAGGAGGAATCCAGAAGCTTTGTAAAAAGTATTACAGTAGATTCTGGAAGTTTATTTGAAAAATTAAAATTATCCCATGTTTAACGGTTTTTCAATTATAGTCAACAATTTACCCACAAAAACGGAAATTTTTACGATCTTTTAGATTTTTTGATAATAAACCACACCCTGCATGTAATTCAAACAACGTTCGAAATAGAGGTAATATCCCGGGATTTCTCATGGTATATTAATTTTTCCAATAGAGCACCACGTCGTAATAGTAAATGACGTCATCGCGTCGAGTTCAAGTTTAAATAGGTTCCGTTAGAGGACTACACTCTATATTTGAGTACGTTTTGAAATCGATAGCTGCAAATCTCGTACACCTATCGTGTTTCATAGCGATGTACGAAAAACAGCCGAAAATCGCAAAATGCCAATTACCAATCGCGGTCATTTCCTATGGACGTATGTATCTGGTGACCAGTTTAAAAGCAGAAAAATTTCCGAAGTTATTCGCGTTTTTATGAAGGGTCTGCAGAGAACGTAGAATGGAGAACGGACAAACAGACACAAAAAAAGTTTTTTTTTTCGACGCTGATCATTTGTGTACCAATGGGGGTCCCCTAGGACCAACCGTTGCCGAGTTATAGGTTTCGTTGCCGAGCGCGTCTACTTTCGAAAAATCCGATTTCATCGATTTTTCGAAAGTAACATCTTATATTGTACGTCTCAAATTAAACGTTTTGTAAAAAATTTAATACGAGGTTCGTCCAATAAGTCTCGCATTTCGGTAAACGCTTCCACAGGGCGTCCTTTGATTTCTTAAGGAGCAACTTTTTCAAATACAATCCTTTAACCGATGTTTTCCTGTTTTTTACTTTTACAGTTATTCTAGGAGGTATGAGATTTCTTTTAATTTTGGTTTGTTTTGGTTACACTCTGTTATTGTCTTGGTGATGCCAAAGTATCGTGAAGGATGTCCATGTGATGAATTCACATCAAAAGCTTCAAGAATGAATACGGTACTACGATATATTATTGTAAAACAAGCTGAGCTCAATATGAACACTCTACATATCTAAAGGGTACACACACAAACAAACACAAATCCTTCAATCACTGTTTAAAACTCGTATTTAATTAATTTAATCACAACTGATTCACAGTATTCGCGTACTGGTTCAGAATTGTTGCGATGTAAAAAAGGACGTCTTTCTTTGTTTTGTTGATTACGAAAAGGCCTTTGATAGAGTGCAGCACACAAAACTAATCGAGATATTACAAAAAATGGATGTAGATGGTAAAGATGTTCGCTGCATTCAAAATCTATATTGGCATCAAACTGCACATATAACAACAATCGAACTGAAAACACAAGATATAGAAATACGTAGAGGAGTGAGACAAGGATGCATCATGTCCCCACTTTTGTTTAACGTGTACTCAGAAGCCATTTTTGGCGAAGCATTCGAAGATAAGGACATCGGAATCAAAATAAATCGAGTATATGTGAATAACATTAGGTACGCGGATGATTCTGTCTTGATAGCGGATAATATCCAAGACTTACAACAACTGATTACTCTACTAAACGACGCCAGTAAAAACTATGGACTAAACATAAATAGTAATAAAACAAAGTTTATGATAATCAGTAGGGACAGGGTGCCTTATGTAAATGCGCAACTCGTCGATGGAATGGCTTTGGAACGAGTCAAGAAATATAGATACTTGGGTAGTTGGCTATATGACGATTGGGACAACGACAAAGCAATCAAAGCCAGAATAGAAATAGCCCGGAGCTATTTTCTCAAATTTAAACATATACTTACCAACAGAGACACAAGCCTGAACCTAAGAGGACGATACGTCGAGTGCTATATATGGTCCGTTCTATTATATGATATGGAAACATGGACGCTCAAAACAACATCAATTAATAGATTAGAAGCGTTTGAGATGTGGACTTACCGCCGTATGCTGAGAGTATCATGGGTCGAAAGGGTTACAAACGAGGAAATTTTGAGAAAAATGGGCAGAGACAGAGAAATTCTATTACACATAAAAAAACGAAAAACGGCCTATTTCGGACACATAATGAGGAACCCAAAATATCGGCTTCTCCAGCTAATCGTCGAGGGTAAGATAGAGGGCAAGCGTGGCGTAGGAAGGAAACAAATGTCATGACTTAGAAACCTAAGGGAATGAACTGGCTTGAAAAATATCGGGGACCTTGTACATACAGCAATGGACAGGGTAGCATACGGAAATGTGATCGCCAACATCCAATAGTAGTGGATAGGCAGCTGAAGAAGAAGACAACTGACTAGTTAGGATTGCTACTTACTACATAGCTAATATTTATTTGTACTACGATACGATTTTTTAAGGATTTTTTGAGGGACTCTAGTAGTGCCCCAGTAAAAAGAATGAACGAACAATTAAATGTTAGCCATCTTAAATTTGACTGCATGATGGAACAAATTCCTTTCTAGTAAAAATTAATTAAACCTTCAGTTTCATTATTTCAGTTATGACATGTTTCTAATTTTTTAAAAAATATTTTAATTTTAAACATCCAATAAGTATAGCAATATTTTTAGTTTAGAATTCAGATATTTTTTCTACCAAAAAATAAAAAAAAAATCTTAGTTTTTATTTAGAAAAAAAAAACGATTTTTAATATTAAAATCGATTTACTTCGACCACCTGTCGCATCTAAAAAACATCAATGGAAATTTTTGAAAATAAAAATCCTAAACTAAACTTAGTGTCCAGAGTAAACGCACACTAAGAATTAAATAAAACTCGCTTGCAATCGCAAAAAACATCCACGAATTTTTCCAGGAACCCCAGCGAGACTAGTCCGGGGTATTTTTGTATACGTCACTGACACGTACAAGGCACATATTTCTTAATGCACCAACACCCCGTGGCTTCATTAGTTACGTCCGATGAGTTACAAGAAAACAAATTCTTCCAGTGCCGTGAAAAAGGCACAAATTCGTTGTCGGTAAAAGCGTTCTAAATCTGGATCGGGTCCCTTCTTAGCGGCCGTTTAAAAATATCAACGCCCAAATGTGTTTTCGGAAATGCTGTTTGTCGTAAAATGTTCCAAGACGTCGAGATTAAGAGGGACATTTATTTTTTCGTTTAACATCACGATAATTATTTCCAATTAGGTGGGTTCGTTAGTTTTTGGAACCTCTTCAAAAAACGAATTCCTTTGCTTCAAAGGTGTATGAAATTGGAAATAGTTACTACGGAAAACGTGTGAAAGGAAGACGAAAAGAAATAGTTAGTTAGTCTCACGGTTTTCCGATCATAGACAATTTTAATTTTTTTTTGTCATTTACAAAAAAGGACCTCAAATTCAGATTCGCCCTATTGTGCGTATTATATGATAAAAATACGCCAAAAGGTCTAAAGTGTCTAAAAAAGGATGGAAACGGTGAAATATTTAGATAATTAGACAATTTTGCAATAAATACGAAAGTGCCTTTAAAAATGGAAAAATGGTTGGGAGAGGGGGTAACTTTCAAATCTTTAATGGAAACTCCCACGTCCCACTCCCACGCCAGGTTTTGTCGGAAGTTCTCTTTTCGATTATCCATAGATGGCGCTATGCTCGCAGAAAAGACGATTTATCGTATTTGTCAAGAACTACACGAATCAATCTATGAATCTGACTTTAGTTTCATGATACCTTCGTTTAAACGTATTTTTTCTATTTGCCGCTTTAAAATAAAAAGTTTGCACCCAAACCAAAATGGTTGTGAATCCGACTGAATTTTCTGTATTTAAAGCCGATAGAAGGTGGGGAATTTTCAAGAATGCAAGATCATTCGAACACCTGAGAATTTCGGTTCACCCCATCCGGGTTATACTTACCTAGCGAAAAACGTGCCCGCTTTGGCGGTGGTAAAATATTTGACGTCAGGTATACGGATTAAAGTCTGGGCTTGGGCCAACGAACCGGTAGCTGATCTGAAAACAAAAATTTCCATCGTTAATGTTAATAAAAACGGACGGTTGTTTGTTTTCTGCGCGTTATCATATTCTTTTCAGGTCACCCAATGAAATTTTCTTGTTTTTTTTTTTTATGAAAATATGCAGAGAAAAATTTAGCCAAAATGTCGAATTTTCACAACAATTGCGTAATAAGCTTATCATTACTTCATACATACTTCATTTTTGCTTTGTTTCAGTTTGTTGTTTGGTATCGCGAGATGTCTTCTTTTCAATTATTATTAGCAACATATTAAATAAAAAATATCATCACAGTGTCACCACCAATTAAAATGAAGTTTTTGAATTGCAATTAAATTAGCTAACCTTTATTGGGTTTTAAAATGCTTAATAAAATATTGACTTAGTTTTGACGATTTCTATGTTAAATTCAATCTAGTTCATCCATGTAGGTTGGATCTACCAAAAAAAAACAAGGCTGAAAAGCATAAAAAAATCAAGTTTGTCCGGAAAAACTGAAACTGAAAAAACATGTTTTATTATTTTCAAAAATAACAATGTTTTTAATATTTTTTATGCAAAATGTAAATTTCGACATGTAAATAATAAAAAAGTTTAAAAAGTTCTTTATTATTTTCAGGATCAAAATTTGCTAAAACTTGTTCACTGTTAGATACTTTTCATTTTAAATGAGGTTTACCTATGTTTTTTAATTAGACATTAGTTTTTACATTTTGTTTATCACTTATTGTTGCCCACTTACACAAGGTACAATGCAAAAAAATATCCTGTAATGTACTACCAAGAAGATACTTCAATGCTGTAGGTGTTCAAACATTTCCTCTTCCCCTACCATCCCCGCCCCACCAAAAAGAAACTTCTGAAACATTTTACCTCTAAATGCCCCTCCTTTAACTAAAAAAAAAATGCCAAGGAGGGCATACTCATTACGTTCACGCCTTCTATAACTTCGGGATTAAAATATTCCGATCCGGTTTTTTTTAAACAATTTTAACTCCCACGTGGGAGAAAAATCCGCTACCATATCGCCTAGCGAGTAATGGACCTCCGCGTTGGGCTCGCCACGAGAAAAAAAAAGAATAAGCAGAATCATAAGTATAACGAACCCGTACGTATTTTTAATAAATTATAATCGAATCATTAAGTGTGGGGGACGACCGGGGGGAAAACCTAAGCTAACGAACGTGTTAATTGATTTTATTTATACGCGCAGCTGTCGAGCGAGTTTGTGAATATAATGAGCTCGTTTGATTTTGACGAAAAGTCTCGAATTTCCTTGATAATGTATGTACACGGTGGTCCGCAAAGAACGCACAGAAAAGGCAATCCGAAATTAAACTCGTAAAAATTATTGAGTAGTAGTAGAGTTATCCAAACAACATACCGTTTTTTTAACCCCTTTATGATTTTGACGTCGGAATGACCCGCCTGTTGTAAAGCGGAAGGGACCATTCTTTTAAGCACGTATACCACAAGCTGTAGGGCTGTATTTAAGCTGTTAACCGACAAGAACTGTGCCGTACGGACTATTGTATTTTAAGAGTAGGATTTAAAAATAACAATGGATATTTTACTGCATTTTCTAATAATAATCGAGGAATCTCACCGATGAAACACTACACCAATTCGTCAGCTTTCAGCATTTGTATTCACGAAGTACCGAAGTACGGTTCTGGAACGTCATTAGAAAGAAAAACCCAAGCGAGGTAGGCCTGCGATTAGACCTTAATAAACATTTACCATAGGTTAAACACCGGATTGTGTCCTATAAACGGTATATCGTTTGAATAACTCTAGTAAGTCAGCCGAATTTGAGTGTAACCGAGTTTGAGGACAATGGTAGCAATAAATTGGTAGCCAATGTTTTGTTTGGCCAACTATTTGTTTTGATACAAATTTTGTACGCCTTGAAAATACATAGAAACTGAGCTGTGATTTGAGGGCATCAGTTAATAAACTAAAAAGTTATAGCAAAAAATGTTAAGAAAAAAAATTTCCAATATTTTTCATAGAAACTAATTTAAAGTACGCTCGCTAGTACAATCTTTTCTGCTATTGTCGATTAACATTTAAAAACACAGCCATTTTTGACGTTTTTTTTTGTGCCATAACTATTTTGTTTATTAATAACTTTTGTATGAAACTTTTTTCGAAATAACCACAGCTTTCGTTGAATACCAACTCATTCCTACCAAAGCTAATGTTGAGTCTGATACCCCAGGTGGTACACGTGCTCCGAATACTAATTAATACTACTAAATTTCAAAATTAGTGCAAACTGAATATTTTATGCGAAAAGTTTTAGCAAAATTTTTTTAAAAAATGTAATATTAAAATTATGATAAGAACCTTTTTTTTAAGAGCTTTTACACACTGTATCTCGGAAATGACGGAGTATAGGAGGGAGATTTTGCTTAAGTACATAAATAAAATATTTATATATCTACTTTTAAAGTTCACATTAAACTTGCCCGACCCTTATAATCTGTGGTCCCGAATTTGCATCCGGCACTTACCTCGTCATTGCTTGTCGAGCCCTTTTCTTTTCTACGTATTCGATCGCCTGCGCCTTGACCGCATTGGCGTGCTGAAACGAGACAGAAAAAAAAATTAAAGAAGAAAGGAAATTAATTTGTTTAACTTATTGATAATAATATGGAAACGTCCGCTCGCTTGAAATTTTACGCGAGATTTTTATCCTGCAAACAAAAAAAAAACACGAAACACGAAAACAAGAATTTCGTGTTGAAATTTTTCTTTGTCTATATCTATAGTCAGATGCGGAATAATTCTGCATCTACCGACTGTGTTTTCCCCTATATTATTTTCGTTGAGAAATAATTTTGTTTTAAGAAGAAAAAACGGCAAAAGTGCAGTTTAATTAACATGATCTGAGTCTGGACCAAAACGAACCAAAAGCATGCCAAAATCAATGGAACGTTGAAAAAACTTTAGAATTTGGTATGACGTAAAATAATATTATATTTATCTTTCTTTTAAGAAGAACACAATCGGAAGGTTTTAACGAAACTAGTTATCGATACAATCATATTTATCATCATCATTTTTATATAAACATAAACATACCAAGGGGCTTACAACAAAGAACCCATGAATGAAGTTTCGTAAATATTCCAACAGTTACGCAACATTCAAAATAACCTTAAATTAATCAAGATATCTGTGAAACTATTGGGGTTAACGATTTAGCGATACAATGTGAATAAAAGCAGTTTAAGCATTAGACAAAGATTCAGCAGCAAAAGGTAAATAAAAAAGAGTATTCAAAATTTCGGTTATTGTATAACATCGAGTGATTGTGATCCAAATATTTTTACGTACCATTAATGTAGTCTTTATGGGGTGCCGACGGAATTAACTAATTATACATTTAAGCAGCAACATTTGTCGATTTAATTATTATTGTAATGGGAAAATTTTCATTTTTATATAGGACTTCGATAAAAAAATCGCACGATTGGGTTATCATATAAATAAAACCTATAATAATAGTAATGTCTTCACCCGGTTGAATATTAACAATAAAATAAAAACGGTAAATAAATAATCCAATACAATAAATTTTAGGAAATCGCCCTGCAGTTACGTTTTTTTTTGTATATTTAGGATTGAAAATTGAATTAATTAAACTTATGTCGAAAGGAAAATTTATTAGGAATGTCGTAAGAGCGTCGCAATTTTGCAATAGGCTCGTTTTCGACAAATACGAAATTCGTTGCGACCGAACCAACGCAACGACATTCGTCGATAACAAATTAATTAATACGACCATTGGTCGCAAAACAAGAAGAAAAAAAAGGAAAAGCTTGCGCAAAACGCGCGATTCGTGTTCTACTATGTATATCGCGCTAACTAACTAACCAAAACAAAAGCCGAAACAAAAATGTGTCGAGCAAAAGTCGACATTATTAATTTAACTAGAAGAGAGAAAAATAAAACCGAGAGATTTGTATCGACGACTGCGAAACGCGTGTACACAAACAGGGTGTTCATCTCAAGGTAGTTTCTGAAAGGCATTAAGGTATGAAATAGAATGAACTGCCATAGGGTAGTATTTATTTCAAATCTGTTTAAAATTTATAAGGAAAATGTCAATGCTCGCGTTCCAAGAAAGACTACTCGAATGTTTCGTCCCTGACGCACTCTATAAAAGCGGTCGCGGTCGCTATAGCAGTCAGTTAAAAATATAAATCGGAACGCCTAAACGTAAATAAGCAACTGATATAAATAGAGACGTTATATAAATTATTAGATATTATTATATAATATATTAGTGTGTGAACCATTATTAACGATTCAAAAACACAAGAGAATAATAAATTAGTATAGTAGAACATTTAAAAAATAAATATTAAATTGATAGAAAATCTTGAATACCAGTGGAGTGAAGAGTTAAAAAAAAAAACGTATTTTTAAACACTCCCAAATAATTATAGACCAAGATATTTAGATATTGACACCCTGTACGTATCGAGTAAATTAACGGACAGTTTTAACGAGCAAAATCGAGTACGGACATGGCCGTATCTAGTTAAACAAATATTTCGTTTTCTCGGCTATAATGGGCGCGTTAATAACTCTTTGAGGGCATTTTTGCATGTCGCCGATTTATGGACGGCGCCTGTATCAAACACAATGGGCTGCGAAAACTGTCAGACCAATTTGTTCCGTCTAGGGACGCCGTTGTCAATAAATAACGGTTATAAATAACGTCTACTGTCGACATTGTCGCAGCTAATTAGACGTAGTTCCAGTAGCTCAAACAAATTAGATTCGTGTGGATTATACCACAAAGTTTTTGACCTACCTGTAGCTTTTTTGTATAGGAGTAAATAAATAAAACCATTTAATAAATAATTAACGAATATTCAACAAATGCGAAAACGCTATCCATCTAGTATCCACTGATAATGTCAAATAATCGTTATTGGTTAGTTTTGGTTAGTTAGTGAAAGAGACTGATCACTTGAATTTTCAAAATTCAGTTAATTAGAGTTGGGGGTTTCCCAAAGACTGGTGTTCCTTTCATTCAAAACCAAGTAGTGTGAGTGATGGGTTTTCATGTTTGGCACATTAAATGTGTTTGTGCTGTTTTGCAAAAATCATCCCAAACACTAATGGTCTCAGAAAAAGTACAATACAATAATAAGTAATTATTTGTTATCAATCTCATTTAAAATATAACGTCATTCCTACCAACCGCTGCAAAACGAATAAAAAAGAAACATTTGTAACAACATTAGACTAAAATATGCTTTAGTAAAAATATTTACAAAATTATTACAGTTAAAGATGTACTTCTCAGCAATGAAAATTTAACTCATTAGTTTCACATAATGGTAGATAAAAAAATAAAGAAAAATTAAAAAATAAGTGTAGTAATATAAAGTGCAGTAAACTAGAGGGTTGAAAAAATTAAATAAAAATACGAGGAAATCGCGATGCACGGCTATTTAAGGTATGGTCTGTTCATAGATATAAGAAAGTAACTAATTGCTTTTGAATGGGATTATCCAAAGGTGGTCATTATCAAGATTATTACATAGCGTTTCGGAATTTAAATTCAGGTAAGATTGTGGTTTGTAATAAAAAATAATTTTATACCTACCTGTGTTTAATATTCTTTGGTTTGGTATACTACTATATACGAGGAACAAAGCGTGCCTTATGATACCCCGGAAAAGGGTTGGGTTGACTTAACGGATAAGTGTAAAACAAACGCGCCATCAAAAAGAGGTAAAAGAATAACTATTTTGCATGCTGGCTCTAAAGACGGTTGGATTCCAAATGGACTTTCTCTGTCTGCGAAAAATATTAAAGATTCTTCTCTGGATTACCACGAAGACATCACCGCCGATTTATTTGAAAGTTGGTTTAAAACAAACTAGTTCAAAATATTCCTCCTAATAGCGTAATTGTAATGAACAATGCATGTTACCACAATAAACAGTTGACTAAAACCCCTCCCTCGTGTGACACGAAAGCAACAATCCAAAACTACATGTATAATAACGACATTTATTTTCACGATGATTATACCAAAAAACAATTAATTAAGGTTCTAATAAGATTGAACCTACAAAAGGAATACGTCTGTACTGAAATCTGCCATTCGTCATAACAATGTTTTTCCCCGTGTTAACCCCAATGTCCTCAAACTTATAAAAACCGAAGTTTTTAACATCCCTCCATAAGGTTGGGCAAATTCTATTAAAGATATAAAAAAAAGCAGAACAATCGTATATCCATTTTGCAAATAATATAGAACAAATAATAATTAGAACAGGCGATGATAGCGATAGTGATACTGATATATTATGTGAATAATTTTTAAGTAATTTAAGTAGGTAATAAAAATATTTCGTAATTTTATTTTAGATTTAAACATAAATACATAAATAAATAAATATTGTTTAGTATCTTTCTTAACAAAACACCAAATAATTAAATTTTAAGCAAAGTACGGACCTCTTCGGCCATATTTCATTCTTACAGCTTGCCCGGGCCTTTCCTTAATTCGTATCAGTTAGTCACCTTCTTATATCTACGAACATACTTTAACAAGGTTAACAAAAATAACAGACGAAAAAAACCTTGCCTAATAATTATTATTATAAAAATAATTAGTACTCCGGGGGAACCACATGTCATCTGCCGCATGTCTTATTACGCAAGCGCATGGTATACCGCGAGGTTCTCGTCCCGGGCCGCCTTCGAAATCGCGTCTGAATACATCTCTGGCCGCGCGGTGCGGCCTGGCGCCAGCGGCGGCGACGGCGGCGACCGGACAGTTGTTTTTCTCTTCCTTATAAGGTATATTTCCTTGAGCGGCCTTCGGGTGTCCGTTTGGGGTCGGGGCCGCACGGCCACAAAAAAAAAACCGCACACACACACACACGCGGTTACTACCACCAGTGTCACGGCCGCGCGGCCAATAATAAACGTCCGACCGGAGCGAAATAATAAATAAATTGAGGCGATCGATAATTATACCGCGTTGCAGGGAAATTAATCATAATATGCGGCGCGCCGTATACGGCGTGTAAGGAAACGAAAGCGGCAAAATGGCGATATTTTGTGGCGAGGACGTGAAAAAATCGGCGTTATTATTAGATTTATCGGGGATTTATGAGGAAATGAATGTAAACGCGAATGTGATTTTTTTTAAGATGACTGTACCCGCGGAAATAGTCGCGACGTCGCTATGTACTTCCGATAACGTAAGGGGTCGCAGAGTATTAATACACAAATTAAACAATAAAAAACGGATTTTGCAACTTTCTCTCCAACTTCACTAAATCTACAGACCCAACTAAAAGGAATGTTGCCTAAATATGAATGGTTGCTATTGTAACGACGTAAGGCGGGACAAAATAATTCCCATTAATTTATTATATTTTATTAAATTAAACCAACCTTCAATATAAAATTAATTTCATACAAGCAGCTTCAAAACCACATAGTGATAGTAAATGTCACTGGACATTATAAAAGGTTCATGAATTCTTCTACTCTAGCAGCAGTTTAATCGAATTAATATTAACTGCCAATCTTCTAATTATGCTT